ATAGTGCACGGTCTTTAAAATTGCTGCATGAGAGAAGACAAAATGCCCAGTGGTAGTGAAACAGAGGAAGCTAAGAATAAACATCTGAGCATTTCTCTTTTCTGTTGTTGTTTGCAGGAAAGCTCCAGGACTTCAAGAACTTCCTTCTTCAGGACCCAGAAACGGTGGCTCGCATCGCAGATCTGCGCCACCGCGTTGAAGCTTTTGCCAGGCCCTTTCCCATGCCAGGGTTCTCCGACCATTAGCCCACTGTGGACTCACGGGCCTATCACAGCCAGATGGCAGAGAGCCGGCAGGGCAGAAGTGTGGATGGAGTGAAATGTGGCTGGAGCCTGTGAACTGAAATGGCTTGAGTTCGCTTTTCCAATCATAAATGGGAAATAATTTTTTATACTGCTTTGCAGTCACGAGTCATCTGTTTGGGGAAAAACATAGCTTCCATGTTGAGTTAAATAAACAATCAAATGTGACAGATTTTCTAGAGCAGAACAACATATTTTCTATTGTGTGTGTGAAGATTTTCTTCTTCACATGATTTCTTAACAAAAGTGTGTGGAAGAAAAATTTAGCAACAGTCAGTGTCACAGTCTGACTTGGTAAGTGCATGATTAGCTACTGTAATAAGGTGCACGGAGTCTTACTTCATTTGAGTCTTAACTAACGTCACTAATGTAATTTCAATGTGAACGGGTGTGCTGGAAAAGAGGGGATCAAAAATGACACCAAGATCTTAATATATTTTAATATACTATATCTTAAATATGCAACACTACAAACTGCTTTTATAATAGGTTTGAGATGCACGTTGTCGTCTTTTGGCACTGCTTTTCTTCCAGCATATCATAGACGCAGGTTAAAATTTCTCTATTTTATTATGTCAGAATAATTCTAAATAACCAAATGGAATCGTAAATAGCATTCCGTATTAAGTCATACCTTTGGTCTGTTTACAAAGAGAAATCTTTTCTACGTGTTATTTAAAAAGTATTAATTGTCATGTCATTTCAATCCATTTTCCTTTATTTTATTACAAGAAGGATTTTGTACTGCTGATATGTGGTTGTTGTTTTTTTCCCACTGTGGCTTTTGTGTGATGTAAAGTGAGAAACTGAAAATCAAGCTGCTTCAGACTACTTTGTTGCACATTTGGTTTAAAGACTGTTCTCAGTACAGTGAGAAGAAACGAGTTGTCTCGTTCAACAATTAACTGGATGTTAGAAATTACGTGGTACTTTTTCTTTGAACAAATGCAAATAAATGATCCATGTCACAATTCAGCCAAAATACGTTTTACTGCAGTGTTCCCAAATCTCTGATCTTTGCTGTACACAAAGGTTTGAACCAACCTTTTACACATTTTACTAATTTTATTAGTGTCATTCTAATAAAATCCAGTAATGAAAATGGGGTCAGTGTTGTCATTAATATTTACATATTTGTTCTTTTCTTAGAGCCATAGATGATTAAAATAGAAAAACGTAGAGTGATAAGACTTTTTCATGTCTTTGTAAATCAGTTGTGCTGACATCGTACAGAATTTCCTTACTCGCTGCTTGCAGTGTTTTCATTTGTAGCACTAAAATATCTCTCCCTCTGCAGCCCACCTGTTTTCTCAGTGCAGGAGAATGCACAGCTAGCAGACTGGAGGGGGCGTAGCTGTAAGTATGTGTGTCGATAGATGTGTCTCACAAAGTAAACAAGTCATGCATGTGAGAAAATGAATAAAAGAAAAAGTTTTGGGGGGCGGCTCTTCCTCTGAAGATTGGAGTTCAGTCAAAAATAGGAGCACGAGAAGATTAACTGCCTAAACACTGAAAGAATTGCAGTTTTTGGCTTTGTCTTAGCTCATTTCTGCTGTGTTGGCTGTCTGACAGAATTTGGGGGACTTTGTACCGAGTCACTACTTCCCCATATGAACTTCATCAGGCGAGACCCGGAGAGGACTGCAGCTGTGACCATGACGCACTTCTTTTTTACTCTACCTTTCATCTCAAGACCGATATCAGAAATCAGCATCAACCAAGAGTAGATCAGTGAGGTTAAGATCAAATTTAGGTGATTTAATTATATTCTTATTATCTGATGTTCTTGCTAAATTGCTTAAAACAAGCATTCAAAAGTTAAAATTTTAACAGTAAAGGTTAAAACTTGTGAAAAACGACCGCATTTTTCATTGGTTCAGAAACTAATTCCTGCAGTATATTTCTGAATCTATTCATTCTGCCTAGAGGATCATCAGAGGAGTCCTGCACAGTTAACGGGTGTGGCTGATGAATTGCACTTGATCTGCAACACTACTCATGCAGTGTTTCTTCTGTTAGAGCTGGACAAGTCTGCTCCCCACCGGCTAGAACCAGTTTCTGCACTGCCTGTTAAAGTAAAACTCAGAAACTATGACCTTTTAAACGGAGAGCCAGTCCAGACTTCCTGTCCATGGATCACCGGTTGATCCACAGCACGTGCACGTGACATCAGAGCCAAAAGCACTAATCAGTGCAGTGTAAGGATACAGAGTTATCGAGCACTGAGAGTAACCCCAGCACACTTGCGCCATCATGCTTCGATATCTGTCATCACAAAGCATTTTTATGTAAATATGTAGATAAGAATAAGAGAGAATATAGAATAAAAGAACAAAACAAAAGAGGCGGTGGTCAGTATCCAGGCTGTGAGGGGTCCTTGATGATGATGCTGGCTCTCTGCTGAGGTCTGCCAGTATAAATGTCTCTGAGTGGAGTTAGTGAAGTGCCAATTGCCTGCTCTACCACTCTCACCACCCGCTGCAGTTTTCGCTTGTCCTCCACAGTACAGCAGTTAAACCAGAGTGTACAGCAGTAGGTCAGAAGGCTCTCAATGGTGGAGTGGTAGAAGTTGATTAGCGGTTTTTGTGGTAATTGGGCCTGATACAACTTCCTAAGAACATATAGCCTTTGTTGTGGTTTTCCTACCTGGTGGGAAACGTTTGTGGACCAGTTAAGGTCGGCCGAGATTTGGACCCCGAGGAACTTAAAGCTTTCTACCTCCTCTCCATCAATGTAGAGGGTGGAGTGGTCAGATCGCTTTGTCCTCCTGAAGTCGATTACCATCTCCTTAGTCTTGGCTGTGATCACATGTAGGTTGTCGTCATCTCTGTAGGCTGAATCATCATTGTACTTGATCAGTCCTATAACGGTCATGTCATCAGAAAATTTTATAATGGTGTTATTGGTGTGAATTGAAGAACAGTCATGGTTAAAAGTGATTATAAGAGGGGACTGAGGACACGGCCCTGTGGAACGCCTACATTCAGAATGCAGATGGAGGTGGTGTGCTCTCTGTGTTCTGGGGTCTGTTGCTCAGGAAGTCCAATATCCAGGTGCACAGTGAGTCACTGAGTCCTAAGTTGCTTAGCTTTTTTTAACCAGTTTGCAGGGTTGAACTGTACTGAAGGTGGAGCTGAAGTCCACAAACAGCATTCCCACATAAGTGTTACTACTGTCCAGATGTGTGAGGTTGTGTGAAGAGCTGTTATTATGGCATCCTCTGTTGACCTGTTTTGTATTATGGGTCGAGGTCTGCAGGAATAACAGCCTTAATGTGTGACATGCTAAGTTTCTCAAACCATTTGGCAATTGTGGGCAGGGATATATTATAGATAGTCATTTAAGCAGCTCATCCTGTTCTTCTTGGGTACTGGAACGATGGCTGACTTAAAGCACGATGGTACTACAGACTGTAGTAGTGAGAGGTTGAAGATGGTGAAAACCTCTGCTAGTTGGTCTGCACATGCTTTAAGCACTCTAAGGTCCAGCTTGAGGCAAATTATTTTCCCTTTTTTGTCCAAATAAGTTGAAGAATGTAATGTCAAAAACGTTAAAATGCCAATCTTTATTTTCAGAGAAAGTAAAACATTGCACAATAAAACCTTTGAACACTGGCTCCCTCTAGTGTTAAAATTACATCTCTACATCATCCACCTCAGTCTTGAGTTTGTTGCGGAGGCTGTAAAGAGAGGTTTTAGGTCACTCATTAAGTTGTACTAGCAGTAGGGGGAAAAGGCTTTGATAGGACTTATTAAGGCCATCATAAAATCCCTTGACTGAATGACTCAATGTGGCACTACTTTCCAAACCATCTGGGTAAAAAAGGAACACAATTTATATATAAAATACAGTCTTGCAAAGTCACCTGGTGAGGTAGGAGTGGACGTCAGAGAAGCCGTGATATTGAGCCAGGGGGAAGAGGATGCCAGTTGGGCAGCGGCCCTCACGCTGACGACAGAAGCTGCAGTTGCA